CCTCCTTCTCATATATCTTCGATCATTATGATTATCACTGTAGTAATATAATAGTAAATTGTCTGCATGAACAAATTTTGAAGATCAGAGCAACAGCGAACTAATTGGGGGAGCACAATCCTTAAAAACAACTAATGCATTGACCTATTCAGTGCATAATAAATCACATTACACTGTTGAATTAGGTATATATGAATATATACACATACAGAAGACAAGAATAGTGTATATATTGAGAAATTTATATACGTCAGAAAAAGGTGTAGATTGTGTGCCATGCAGATGTCCCGGTAGTTTGATCAATACTTTTTAATACGCAATAGTGACCTTCATTCAATTTTCACTCAATCAAGATTTACAGCTGGGACTATTTCTTGATAAATATAAACTGATTTATGGAAGTAAAACCAGCATTGGTAAAGTTTACAGAAATTTTTGTAGAAGAAACCGCCGCTACCGCAAGCGTTTACAATATGTGAGAATGATAATGGGGTAGTGAATATTAAACAACGCTCTGAAAGCTTTCTCGTTATTATCAACGTAACATCATATACATTAAAGAAACAATAAACATCGCCACTATAATGTAGCGATGTTGCAATGTCTGGATAACCTACACGAAGTCTTTTAATTGATTAAAGCGAGTTTTAGTAATATTTAAACGAATGTTAAGTTACGAAACTATTTCATAACTCTTGTTATTGTATATTCATTTTTCAAATTTCGAGTGCTTTTTGTTTGATTCAAATGTGGTTTTGTAAATTTCCTTACTCTTGAATGTACCACATCTAAAATTGTAAACTGAATCCGATTTCGTCGTGATCTGATAGCAACATTTGAATCTGAATTTTGAGGATTCTAACGAGTTATTGGAAATCAGCATCATGATCACATCTCCAATCAGCAACTTCACCATGTTTATGATATACTATATACACGAACTTTATCTAGATCATCTATTGGAAGCTGATTAAGCAAATATGAAAGCACTTTCGATTCTTCTTTAAATCTGCCTATATCAAATAAAAACTTTCCGAATTCAGGAAGAGACGATCTTTCATCAATATTTGAGCAAATTGGATATTTCGTTATTTCATAGATAGGCTTTGAAAGATAGCCATTATCGCTGTGCAATATCATTATAATTATGTACACTATACGCTATGTTGTTCATTGTTCTTCTGAATAATTGATTCCAAACAAAATATACTATCCAGCATCATTTAAACTTTCTCTTAGTTTGAAAAATAGCTTTAAGATATGATGTTAGTACATGGGTTAACAACACCTGATTGAGGTACTTACCAGTTTCATAAAGAATTTACAATATGTTTCGGAATATATTCGATTGACCCAAGTAAAACAGTTCCAGATCACGATTTGCACATGTCGAAACAAAAAACCTTATTGAAACGAATTCACCCACAGGATTCTTTTACGATGCATGACTTGTTTATAGATGATTTCGGTGTGGGTGTAAGGAAACGCTAGACCTCAATCACACATCCAACCATACTCACATGCACTTTCTGCAGAGCATATCTTTTTGTAGAATATGTACATAGAACGATAGTACCCATAGCAACAACGCAGAATTGTTTCGTTGAATGATACAATTCAGCGAAAACATACACATACAAGCCTTAATCCTGTTATATGTGAATCGATAAGAGTTTTTAGACAGATCGAAATCTAGAGACCAAACACTACTTCCTATTTAAAGTTTCCATACACAATGAATAATTGTTGTTTGAGTGACGAATATTCGAATAATGAGTCACGATGGTCACTGCAGACCAGAAGTTGATAACTATTGTTTGATTGTAGATTAAAAAATTGGCTAGTAGAAGAAAATGTTTGAAATGAGACTGACAACTTCTAGATATACTGCTATAGAATTTCAGTAAACGCGCGAAACCAATTCGATGCTCGTTATAAGAAGATTAAATTGAAAGATAAAGTTGTATTGTGATATAGTACTTGTCGCACTTTATCACGACATATGGCATTTTCTGTGCAATAAAACATCTGACATCGTCCACTTCAGTTCTGATAGTTTACAGATACATACTGGTTAACAGAAAGAACTACATAAACTGGTAAATACATGCTTCAGATTGCAAAGAAATCTATTGCGATCGGCGAATATACAACGTTTACTCTATAGTAAAGGAAGTCAATGACATTTCTCAGTTGTAAAGAATGAACAGAGAATTATCTAGAGATGAAGACAACCTCATGTTAACCTTGCCAAAAAGATACTAATTCACTCGTCTTCAAGCGACATCTGTTCCAGTTTATCTCAGTCGTTCTATAACTACTTCAAGAAGGTCTATTGCCAATCTGAACTCTGCGACTAACAAGTCCTACATAGTCAGAAGTTATTGACTGATTAGACGAAAAAATATTCGCATGAATACTTTTTCAGTTTTCAAAGTACACTGCCAAGAAGAGACCATATATAAACAAAACTGTGTGATAATGACTTTGTATCAACTTCAAATATTCTCTCGAATGGCGCGAACCACATCAAAAACTATTCATATAGTGCCGATATATGAACGACTTATATATAAAATAAACATGTTGTCTCCACATAAAACTAGCAGATAATCATGTGTGGTTATTAATTGTGCAACAGATTTTTGGGCGCCTTGCTAATACTTTAAACTATTTGGTTTTTATATGAGAAGATGCGTCTTTTGACGTTCTAGAACATATTCAAAATTCATTCTGAGATCTCAAAAAAAAAAACAGTCAAAATACAGGTGAGAATGTTGAAAATTGATGTCTATATCAACTGTAAAGTCATTGATTCTCAAAAATATAATGATCATTAGTCCCATCTGACAGAATGAGGAGAACAACTAAATAGAAATTTTTTTAGAGCAGACTTCGTTCTATCGGCGAATATAAGATAATAGTAGTATTGAAAAAACAATCTTTCAAATATCGAGGTACCTTTTGCATACTCTAGTCCAACGTCAAAAATATTGCATCATCAAAATACCAGAAAATCTCGTTCAAAAGGGCTGAAAATTTATGTTTATGTCTTGCTTTTTTTTTCTTTCGAGTCTGATAGTCGATGTTTAAAAAGTGAAGTTTTTTGGCACCCAACTTGAGTATTTAGTAATCTATCAAGGATGTTCGTATAATATATATTGAATTAGAATAATAGTAGATTATTTTGTTCATTCATTTGAAAGAAGTAAATGAAATATTAAATATCTTTTTCTGTTATTACAGATAGTTTTTTAAACTTATTTATTAGATGATGAGAAAACTTTACTGATTTTTACTATAAAAAATATAAATTATAAAATGCAAGAGAACTGAAATATTGAATGGCTACAAATTGTTTGCTAAGTAAAACTATTAAAATGCTAAGTTGGTCTTTGCTAAGTAAAATTTCTATGTGCTCAGTAAAAAAAATTGAATTCTAAGTAAAAACATTGAACGCTTAGTTAATTAAAAGTTTCTCAGTAAAAAAAAATATTTGGTAAGTTTGATAGATAATCGCTAAGTAAAAAAATATTTCTGTTAAGTCAATGAATCGAAATTATACTAAAAAAATAGAATCGCTACGTAAAAATTATTATTACTGAGTAATTTTCAGTAAATGTAAAGTACGATTATCGGAAAGAAGAAAAATTTTTTATAGTACTATCATGTATACATTGTTTTCTCTTGCTTTCCTTCTATCATCGTTCGACTGGTATCGTGATATATATGTCAACATTCAATTTCGAATTCACTCCAATCTCGGATGTTCACATTGAATTAGTCAATTGTTGGATTGAGAAAATTTTTTTATTAAAACCTTCGTCACTCTCAATATATATGTTGGATTGAAATTCTCGTTGATGAACTATGTTGGAGCAATGGTACTTCATATATTAAAATCATCCATGTAGAACCTATTTTCGAATTTGAACTCTAATGGATAGTTTTCCTAAAAAAACTGTTCTTCTGTAGAGGTTTACATAGAGGTTCACGAATGTTACTTAAACTTGTATATCGACTATTGTATTTTCTAGAGTATCATTGCTGCAAGGCCATTTAGCAACAAAAATTTCGATCTAACATCTCTGTTGAGAGTAGCCGAGGTTTTAATTAAAACAAATTCCTCAATCCGACACTAAATCAGCCCAAAGTGATCACCCAAGATTGACCTAGGCCGATCTAATATTGAAGTGAATCCAACACTGGATGCTGACACACATATATATCACTTATAGATTTTTTTCGTTCTGATGTAAGTGCCTGTTTTCTTAGAACATGTTCTAGTACAATTCTGTTTGTTTTTCTCTTGCTATTTCTTTTACATAAGATTTGTATTGCTCTCTCGAGACTTCTCTTCTGTCTAGCACTTTTTGGTACGCTCTTCCCCTCGTTTTCTTATATACTTCTAGTGATCTGTCATTGAAAGTTTACATTGAATTAAAAAGCTAAACTATAGCAGCATGTCGAAATGAAAAAAATCGACTTTGCGATTGTCCAAGCTTCTTCAAAAAATATATTTGTAAAAATATTTTAGGCATAGCTATTAGGTTGAAGTGTTGTAAAACATCTCTATCAGCAAAGGATATACTTTTCGATAAAAAAAGAAAACAAAAACGACTAGGAAAAACAACAAAAACTCTATTGATACAATAACTGTGCAAACAACTTTTTTACTGAGATATTCATGTCATTTTACTTAACAAAAATTATATATTTACTTAGCGATTTACAATATTTTACTAAGAAAATCAAACTGTTTTACTTAGAATTTAAATAAAAAACTTAACAAAAACACTTTTTTACTTAGAATTTTTTTCAATAAATTACCTAGCAAAAATTTAATTTTTTACTTAGCCTTTATTTAAAATTACTTAACACTTAAATAGCAGCCATATTGAATACATGTTATCAAATATTTTAACATTTGAATACTAAACAACGAAAAACAAAAAGTTCATGAATAAAGTTTTCAAAAAGTATTAATCAATGCTTTCTATTTATCCATTAGCAGTAAATGTACCATAACCCCATGATGCTCCATCACCAGCTATGCTCAATGTCCACGATTCTGTTGAACGTGAAAAATACGTGTTATCTGCATTCGATGATATTGTATCACTTCGCCAATATCTTCCATAAGACGAACTTGGATTAGCTTTAAATGCAAGGTTATTATTACTCGAACTATATGTTATCTCTGTTGCTTGAAAATAATCGAAATTATATATAGCTGTACCAAACCATGCTTGTGTAAATTGATCGTTTGTCTTTGGCGTTGATAAACAGGCCATTTTGACTCGTAAACGTTTTTGATAGTTAGCACATTTATCAGCTTTTTTTTCCATTCTGTTAATGAACTATATTTTCCATCAGAGACTAAATAAGATTCAAGTAAATAAATATCATTTGAATTAAGTTTAACGTGAGCTCCACCAAGTACATCATCAGGATTCCATGCATTCATAATAACATGCATGTTTTTTAAATGACAATATTGAATCATACGCGATTGACGTTGCCGTGTCACATTATAATCATAGCCAGCATCATCCCAAAATATACCCTTTATTAAATAGAATGAAAAAAAGAAAACTTAATCCTCAATTTTGAATTGTATTCTTACATTAGCACCCATAGATGACCAACCATCAACAGCTTGTCGCATTTGTTTTCTATTTAAATTTTGTGTTGTAACGCCTAAATCAACATATCCGAACACTTTTTTACCACGAGCAATCAAATTGCTCATAATAGCTTGTGTTTTCACATGATCACCATGTGTAGTCTTCCAAATTCCATCACCAAACACGATTAAATCAAATTGTTCAAACCAATTACTAGCTGCTGTTACATTACCTTGACTATTTTCAACTAACGATGGCCGTCCATAATAAATAGCTAAATATTTTGGTACTTTAACTGATGTTAAAGCCATTGCATTAAAAATATAAAGTGTAAAAAGTATAAAAGTTTTACCCAACATTATTTTATAATATGTTTGTCAAATCGATCTTAAATAATATTTAAAAAAAAATGTAAGTGATAATCCACTAAAAGCTAACAAATGTTTTCTTTTCTTTATTGACACAAGAATTACTAACACATTCTAAAACAAAAATAGTTTTATAGTAGAAAATATATTTTACATGTGAAAACAAAACGTCGTATTTTCTTTCCTATGATGATTAATTTTTCACCGATGTGTATAGGCAACCTTCGAAAAAACAATGATCGATTCACTTAAATCGATAAGTCTAATCAAGCATATCATTTACTTTTTTCTACATAAAAAAACGTGTTGTTATTGCTATGTTTTCTTTACTTTCAAATGTTTATATCAAGAAAAACAAAACACACACGTGGAGATGAATTGGCAATTTCAAGAAAATAATTGCATCTATTATTTCAGGTGCTCAATAAAAAGACAAAACAAATCGATCGATCGATCGATTGAAAGGTGATAAATTCTTTTTCACTTCTTTCTATGCATTGCCTTAGTAAAGGTGTTAAATTTAACGTTTGACAAGTGTGTGAAGAGAGAATGAATAATTATTCTTATGATCATTATAACCTTCAATTCAATTCAATAATCATCTCTGATTTCAATCACAATAATAATTATTGAGAACAATGTAAAATAAAAAAAGAGGAGTATACAATATATTCTCACAGTCATCGAAGTCATATATCTAGTGGAAACAGCTTGGAATAGTTCATTATAGCTTAGAAATTCGTAATCAATACTCTAAACTATAATGATCAGAACTAAATATGTGCATGCATGCATGTATGTATGTATATACTGTCGCAATTGCAAGATAATTACGTTGAACACGATCAAAAATACAGAAACATGTGTGTGTCTATCACAAAAAGTCAGACATTGGCAATTGAACACTCATCATTGGTAAATGAGAAAAAAACGAGTCTTTAGTCATGAGCGAAGCATTACGATGGTTAGTTCTGTTAATACCTTGATTGAAGAGCAAAATAGTCATTTCTTCTTTCTTTACATTGACACTGTTATTTACAATCTACCGTATAATTAGTTTCATGGGTTTTGATTGTCGATTATCAGCTTTACGGGTCGTATAGAAACAAAAGAAGAAAAAAAAAGAGCACCCAAAAGAGTCCTTGTGATTATGTATTGTTGTAAGATTCAAGAGAGAAAAAGAAGAAGTGTATTTAGGCTTGTTCACTTAATTTGTTTTAAGGTGAGAGAGCGAACAAACGAACTTTTTTTTTCTCTTTTCGTCGTATCAATGAATGACAACGTAGTAAAAGTGAAGAATGATTGCTTCCACTTGATGTATATATGGAGTGCCTGCTTGGCGTGTGCACACTTATATTTCAGGTTCAATATCCCAAGTGTGTTGGTTAGTGGATAACAACATCTCAAAACAAAACATGATTGAACTTCTTTGATAAATATATATATATATATAATAGACAATGCCTTTCTTCTGTCTTTCTTATGTTTTTTTTTATTGTATTTTTGCTTTTGTTTGGAACATTGTGCGTGTCGACAAAGTCGATTGAAGCCGCAAGGATATCATTTCTTTTCTAACTGTGTATGTTCAGACGATGCCGATTAGACGAAAAAAAATGAAGAAGAATGCAGGTGCATTTGTGAGATGCATACAAGACTCATTCATCATAAACATCAGTAGGCGATTACGAGTGTCTCTTTCTCTGTTCTCTTAAACTTTTAATGTACAATTCAACAAATTCATTTATGTCTAACCTTTCTCTGTCTCTCTCCTCCCCTTCTCTTTTTTCGACAAGCGCTATTGCAATTACACTAATAGTAACTCTTATAACAGAAAAAAGACGCAAGCTGCTTCTACTGTTACTCTGGCTCTTGTCTTATTCTATATAGACACACATGTACACATCAGTAAAGTGACTCATAATCCCATTCGCGCGGTTGCCCAAGACAAATTACACTGTTAGGATCACGTCTATAGTGCCACATACACACACACATATTTTATACTTTTAAACATTTTGCCGACTGACCGCGCCTTTGTACATGCAGTGCCTAATTGACAGTAGGTGGTAGTTGTAGACACAATAACGCCATTTTTTCTCTCTTCTCCAACAGCGTCGTTTTGAACTCTTCTTTTCATTGTTTAGCGGCACTGTTCAATGAAGAAAAATTACAAACACATTCATATAACGAGAGTCAATAGATAATTATCTGTCTGTTTCTATATCTGTAAGTGACATTAAAATTACGTGAAATGACCATTCAAACTTAGTTGAGACATCAATTTCCTATTCTATTCTAAACCGGATACAAAATGAAATGAAGAGTAATTGTCCAATGTCGGTCACACCTCCCGGTGTCCAGATTGCCTCTTATAACCTTATCACAACATCAGAATTTCTTCTCGGACGATCAGTTCAGTATGGACCAGTGAACTAGCAATCATCATCATCGTGAATACAACGTCGGCTAATATAATTGAAAAACATCAATTATGAAAGAAAAATAAACTTGAACGCCGTCGGCAACTATACTAATTCAACGAAGCAGATCAAAAAAGGAAGAAATAAAGAAGTCAAACTTCTTCTTCGTTGTTTTTTTGCTTATATACACTTTGTATCCATATTGAATCAGCTGAATATGTTCACTCATTTATTCTTTGACGGACATATGGAGAGTAGTTCGACACCCTGCTGTGAATAGGGCACGTATCTTCGAGCGGTGCTCATCGTCTGTCGTGTACATATCTTGGGAAAGCTAATTTATTATCCTGACAAACTTCTTTACAGGTGTCGTCGTGCTTATCAGATCATCAACATTCTGTTTGAATAAATGAACTTTTTCTCTCCTTCCTTTTTTTCCAGAGAAAAATTCTCTTGTTCTCTTCTTTCTCTCTCTCCCTCTATTGCTTCTGTTCAAATGTGTATGTATATGTATACTAATTGCTATTGTTCACGCGAGTTCAATGTTCAGTCTAGAAAATAATGGTGTATGAGATCTATCTTTCTTCGTCTAATGATCTATACGCGTGTATTGTGTCAGATAGCATCATGAGATTAGCGCACAGATCAAGGTAAGATCTTTTGCTGATCAACAGTGCACAGTTGTCGGGGTGAGATTAAGTGTGTATGTTCGACAAGCAAAAAAAAAAGAAGGCCTGTCTTATCATTAATTTGAAGCAAGTGGTGAAGGTGCTAATCAATCCCACAATAAGTAAGTAACCCTGCTATGTATGTTCAAAGCACAATATATAAAAAAAAGAAAACCAACAAATGATCATCTTGTACCTACAAAAGGAAACATATGAACTAAGAAATTTATTTTTGTTTTTTAGATGATTATCTTACGTTTATTGTTAATAATTTATTTAACTAATGCAACATTTCTTTTTTTTGAACATGATTCATATGAATTTTATATTTCGGAAGCAGCACCGATTAATACAAAAATTGGTTTTATCAAAGCAACATCATCATCATCATTATTAATACACTATGAGCTTTATGGTGATATATATAAAACATTTTATCTGAATTCTTCAACAGGAGAATTAATTCTATTAAATTCTCTTGATTATGAAACTATAACAATACATAAATTAACTATTGAAGCACGTTCATCATCAACCATAGCACCTTGTTTTAGTGAAATAATTATTCATGTATTAAATGTAAATGATAATTTACCTGATATAAATTTAATATTTTATCCATCAGTTTTATATGAATCAAATCTAATTAAATATGATTTAAACACATATTCAACATCATTAGCTACAATAAATATAAAAGATATTGATGAATCAACCAAAAATTTAAGTTTAATTATAAATGATACTGAACATTTTCAAATACAATTTGTACGTCAAATTAAAAATGGTTTAGTAACTGAATCAATTTATCTATTATCAACAAAAAATAATTCACAATTAATAGAACATGATTATTATTATTTATCATTAAATTCATGTGATAATGATCAACCATTATTATGGACAAATCGTTCATATGAATTTCAGATGAAACCAAATGAAAATTTATGTCAATTTTCATTTAATAAAAATAATTATATTATTGATATTAAAGAAAATTTACCTAATCGAACATTAATATTACAAAAATTAACTAATAGATTTTGTCATAATATATCATATTCAATAGATGATACAAAAAATTTTTATATTAATACAAAAACAGGTTATTTATATACATCAACTATTTTTAATCGAGAAAAACAAAGTATTTATATATTAAATTATAAAATAATTGATCAATATAAAAAAGAAATTAATACGAATATAACTATACGAATAATAAATGAATATGGTCATATACCATTTTTAATAAATAAAAATTTTCAAATTAATCAAAATGAATTTTTTTCAATCGATTTATTTAATTCAACATATTGTCGGTATCAATCAAGAATTTATAATTATTTTCAACTTTTAACAAATTGTACACTTATCAAATTATCATTACCTGTCAAAGGAAAATATTTATTTCATATTCAACTTAATGATAAAAATAATTATGAAGATACATTTCAACTTGAAATAACATCACACTCGAATAAAACATTTCTATTAATGTTTATACGATCACAATGGATAATTATTATACCAATATTCTTAGGTATTTTTTTAATACTTATTACAATTATTTGTGCTATGATAATTATTAGAAAACATAAATATAATCAAATTTGTCATGATAAACAAGTTTGTTGAAATCAATTTTTTTTCTTTTAATTATATTCATCTGTTTTGCTTTCTTTTAGAAATCATCATCTTTATCCAGTTGTGAAGAAAGTATTCATGATAGTAAGTAGATTTCCATAAGAGATAATCTTTTTTTTTTCTTTCGTCTTGTCAGCTTTTGTATTACATCATACGACATTTTCTGTTTTCTTATAGAATATGATGCAATTTCAACTGTATCAAAATTAAAAGTACACGATGATCATGAATTGTCATTATCACCAACACATACAGC